CCATGCTTTCCTTAAATTAAATTAAATTAAATTAAATTAAATTAAATTAAATTAAATTAAATTAAATTATATTAAGTTAAATTAAATTAAAAGAAATCTACCAGGTCACCATGGAAATCTCCAAAAGGACATTGCACAAGGGGAAAAGCTGCAGAACTGGACAACTAAACATGCTTTCCTTAAATTGAGAGGCTGCTTTGACCATGTTTGTGCCTGATGTGAAATCATGGTTTAACTATGGCTTACAGAATACAGCAGAATTATTGGGATTTGTGTAACATGCAAGATCATATTATTACCAGGATAGGTCAATATTCAATACACAGATTTGTCTATGCTAACCCATGGCTTATTAATTGATTGGCTGAGTGCCCAGAGGATGCTAATACAAAACCAGACAAATCCCATTGTGGCTGAGAGCAATTTGTGAACCCAGTGAATATCTGAGGTTTCCCAATTTAAACAAAAGAAGAAGAAGCCCCAGACATTGACTGGGTTCACATGACCTTGGCAAGTGGTACCAGAGGTGCTAATCTATAATGGCTTAGTCTGATACTTAAACCCAGCCATAGTTTCTAGCTCAGTGTGTTGTACCCACCAGACCAGACTGTGTCTTAGCACAATGAACATCATCCTCTTGCTGTCCTGACTTTTTGGAGGTCAACAGAGGAATATTAAGGAGGAATAAGGAAATTCTACCAGCCATACTTTCAAAGATGTTGTATTGCCAAATCTGTGTAATGGTGTGTGGGAATGACCTTGGGGGACAGGAGGAGGAGCCGCAGGCTAGGCAACAGCCAGATAAGAGGAAGCTGAAGGAATGGGGACGTGGCAAACGTCTCAGAAGGGGCCCTCCCTAGTTTCTTGGACTGTAAAGGCAACAAAGGAGAAATGTACTTTCAGACTTGCAAGATTCTGTTAATGTAACCTCACATTAAAGTAGAATTAGTTCTTCTGGGTGTGCTTTGGACTGGACTACCTTGCAAGGCTGACAACCTGTTAATCTCAGCTAAGCAGAGTGACCATATTTTCTAAGGCTCCACCAAGCCCTGGCATCACCATTTCAAAGGCATTGCTGTTCTCATGTTGCACAGAGGATCCAGTAACAGGCCAGAAACACTATGAGAAAATACCACTTGCATATCCACCGGTATGATAATTTTACCAAGTATCAGGAAGGAGTACGCTTAAATATTGTAACCTGCTAATCCTGGAAGGGTGTGTGTGTGTGTGTGAACGGCACTGGGTCCAAGTCCCTGCCAATCCTGAGCATTGATTCCCTACAGATTAGTTTCTCTACCCGCAGGAGGTTGGTCTGGCCCCTGAAGCGTGAAATGTGAACTTTGCTTGCTGGAGGATAAATAAATAGCTTGGTGACTTTCTGCCTGTCTAACCTTCCTTCCAGACCAGGTTCATCCGGTTTTGTCTAGGCAGTTTTGTTCCGCTCGAGCAGAAATACGAGGCCTGTGTCAGCCTTGTTATGGCCTGTGTGCCGAAGCAGAGGCTGTGTTGTGATCAAGCCCTGACGACAGCATGGCTTTGTGGACAAGCTTGTCCCCGAAATTCAGCCGCAGTTTCTTTCCACTGAAATTTGTGCGAGAGAAAGACAGAAAAATGCTCTTCCTGGATGCTTTTGACTGGCAACTGAAAATTTTAGCTTCTATTGCTGGCCGCTAAAAGGGGATGGTTACTAGTCCAAACAATGTGAGTATTAAGATCTTGCTTTTTAAAATTTATTTTATGGGATTTATAAACTGCCCCAATCAGAACTAACCCTGACTGGCATGGAATTCCCTCCTCTGTAATCTCAGATTAAAACAGAAACAGAGTACCTAATTTGTATAATTCAAAACTACTGTCGTTGTTGATTAATCCATGGGACTTTAAAAAATTGATTGCAGCAACTGGCCCCAATAAGAAATGGAATAAATAAAATCTTTAATACAAAACTGTTCAGTTTGTAGAAGAGAATCCTTCCTCTATCCTTGCAACCCCTTCCTGCTCCTCCATTACTCACCTGGAAAATATTTCATCTGGGCAAATTTCCACAGGGTTGTTGACAGATTACAGAGGGTTTAAATTGAGATTTCATTCTCTGGCAGGAGATTGAAAACCAAGAGCAAACCAACCAGATTACCTTTGAACACACACATAACTCTAAAAGAAGGGAACACTACAGGTAGTCCTCATTTAGTGACTGCCTTGTTTAGTGACTATTTGCAGTTATGATGAAAAAGTAACTTTGTAACTAATCCTCACATTTATGACCTTTGCAGATCTGTAAAGCAAAGAAAAGCTGAAGTAAGATTATAAGCACAGATGTGGTTTCACTTAGTGACTGCTTCATTTAATGACCAAGTTGCTGGTCACAAAATGAGGACTAACTGTATTGTGATAAAAATCAGATTTTTTCCCCATGTTTGTTACATGAGTTGATGGCACAGAAGAAGGGGTTCAAAAAATGCATGTGATGGCAATATTGCATAGTTCAATGTTAAAAGTCTTAAAAGTAAAGTTGGGGAAAAATTCTTAAGCTGTTTAATTTTAAAAAAATCAAGAAAGGTACTGTTAAGTATACCAGGAGAAGAAAGGGGAAGGAAAAAGGAACCCACGTCACTAGAACTGATGGCTGAACAAAATGGGCTTGACAAATTATTTGCTTTTTTTATGAACTAAAAGAAAATCACCTTGCTATTTGATGATTTGGCATATTTAAATGCAGAAAAAATAAAAAATAAAAATAGAGGCATACACCTTGGAATAAGAGCTGTTATTTCCAAGAAGTTTCTGGATTCAGGGTCCCCACTGCAAAGGTTCTTAATAATAATAATAATAATAATAATAATAGGTTGTAACTTGTAGCTGGAGCATCTAGGATATAATAAAGACGGAGGAACATTTAATGGTCTGGCTTGAAAAATCCCATTTTTACTGATCAAATATAACAGGTGGTCATAAAAAATATATCCAGTAGCCCACTCTAAGTATAAAAACATGTTAAAATTAACTCAAAAGAAAAAAAAACATTATGGAGGACTGACGCCCAAGCAACTCTGCTTAAAACCATCCTCAGGAGCTGTAAGTTTCTCCCCTCGCAGAGAAATCTTATGCGTATCTTCTTAGTGAAGCTAATACAACAGATCCCAAATAAATCTGCATAAAATTGCAGCTTCACAGAGTATGAAAAGGTAAGCGAGGGGAGAGGATGGTCATCCTTGGAGCGGGCAGGCAAAATCACATCGCTTTTGTAAGCTACATAAATCGCACTGTTAGTGCGATGACATCATGGCGTTGCCCAGAGTCCATTGGAGTCGGGCGACTAATACGCTCAAAAAAATAAATAAATAAAGTCACGGCGGCTTGCATTCTTGCATCAAGAAGTATGTTGAATCTGTTTTCACCAACAGCACCAGTTTCTCACTCGACAGTACTTATTTGTTGTTCCTGGACATGTAACTGCGACGCTCGCCTTGATTAAAACGCACCTTCCGCTGACCGCAGCAGCAGAGAGGCCCAGGTCTGGATCTCGAGGGTCCTGTTTCAAATACCCTGAACAGTTTGGCTCCCACAGTTTAGAATTGCCTCCTCGTGTAACCTTGTCATTCAGGCTTATCGCCGTTTAAATTAGGTATTCCTGTTGACAGAAGATTAGCGCACCTGAGCACATGAGGAACTTTGTTCCATGCAGGTAACTTACACGGCCAGCAAGATAAGGAGCGCGCGACAGTGTCAGCCAGAAAGGAACGGCTCAAGCTGTGCGTGGGTCATTTCAATAAGCTGCAAGCGTACAAAACTGTTTGCGGATGACATATATTTGTTCCTTGGGCTTTCTCAGAAGGCCCTTACCTTTTTATTGTTCTTCTGCCTAAGCTTTGTACCTTCCTACCTGGAACCAACAGTGTTTTGTTATCTATAATGACTCATTTTGGTTAATAGTTTCTGCTGGATGTCTTTCTTTCACATAATAATCAGTGTCCAATCATGGTCGTCCGCTGGAGGTTGCCGCTCCACTTCATCCCTGCGTACGACATCACAACACACTTATACAAAAGGGGCACAGCTTCTATCACAACAACACAATGCAACTTTTTCCTGCGTACAGTCAAGACAATTAAAGTAAATCCATAGGAACAGAGGGCCAGGTAAACAGAAATATTGGTTGGATTCATTAAGCCATGATTTTCGGCTAATCAATATGCGTGAAGTAAACCCAGCTTCATTCAGTCAAACCATGGTTAAACAACTCAAGAAACAGGAGTTTCTGAGAGAGCAGAAAACCATCACAGCAAGGCCAAAAAACCCCTAAAACAAAACAAATAGCGTCAGCTTGTTTCTTCCATGAGGACTGGTGGCCTTAAAAGAAATAAAATAATTTAGAAATCTGCATCACGCAAATTTTGCTAAATAGTATACTGTAAAAGTAAAAAAATCAAAAGGAGTGTGGTGGCACTTTTTTAGGCTAACGAATTTTACAAAAAGGCCTAAGCTTTTGCGAGCTGCAGTTTGATGCCTGTGAGCTGAACAATTTCTCACTCGACGGCCCTCTTAAAGTCCTGCTTGGAGGTCACTCTGAGGACTGCCATAAAATATCCTGGGAGGCTGAAATGCTCTGATACTCCTTTGTCTTTGTTGTGAGTCCAGATGTCAAAGTTGTGCCCGTTAATTCTTTGGTGCAAAGTTTGTCCCATTTGTCCTAGGTAGACTCCAAAGGGGCATTGCGGGCAGATGATAGCATAGATAATGTTGGAGGAAAAGCATGTGAAGGTGCTTCTCATCTTGGGTGGGTCCATATTGCCCCAGCCAGTAAATACAAGCACAGTTGAATGCCCTCTAGAGCAGTGTTTCTCAATCTCGGCAGCTTTAAGATGTGTGGACTTCGATTCCCAGAATTCCCCCCCAACCATGCTGGGTGGGGGAATTTTGGGGGTTGAGTCCACACACACTTAATATT